CTATCCTTTTATGTATCTCGAAAATGCCCCTCGCCCTATTCCCTCCCTCTATATTCGCCCTCTCTCAGCCGTCTCTCCTATCTCTCTCTCCGTCTATCGCAGCATGGGTTCGTCGATCGAGCAGAGGTTGAATGAGGTATTGAAACCTCCATGAAATTATCCTAAACTTACAATAACCCCAACTCACCTTACAAATACATACATATACACAAATATGTGAATGTGTGAGTGTTTGTGTATATATATAGAGAGAGAGTGTGTATATATATAATTATATATGTATGTGCGATGTCCTGCTCACCTTCGCCTTGTCCTTGTCCTTCTTCTTCTCCTTCGCCGGCGGCCACACCCTCCGAGCTCCCTTCGCTGCTGCTCATTGAACTCCTCTACAACCAAAAAATCGATTCAGATCTGAATTGATTGCAAAGAACTTCCTGTTGCCGAAGAAGATGAGGAATGGTCTGAAAGTGTTGGCCGTTAGGAATGGGAATAAACCAATAGGAAGTTGTATTAGTAAGATCGGGTTCGATTAGGCGTGCGAGTCTTCGTCGGCGTCAATGGGTGTGCCAATCTAAGAGGGGTGAGAGAAAGAGAGAGAGGGGGCAATCCATTGAATGGGTATTGGGTCATTTCGCAACTGACAGTTTAGGAATTATTTACACCTGAATTGATTGTCACTTGTGAGGGAGTTTTAATTAATTAAAATTAATTCGTTTTTTATTCAAAAATGAGCAAATTTGATTTACACTTATTTTTTTTTGTGAAATACGGACACGGGACACAGTAGACAAATCTCACGAGGATACTGACAAAAAAAAAATGCAAGCAATTAAGAATAAATAAACAATTGACTTTAAAAAAAACAATTGTGGAAACAAAATATTCCAGAAATATCCTCAAGAGTCGAATCCAAAATTTAAAACTTTCTAAATCCCTCCAAATTATTATCTAAACGGACCCTAAACCTTCCATTCAGAATAAGGAGACACAGGAGTTGGGCTGGTCCGTTAGATAAAGGAGGTGGGATGGTCCGTTAGCAGATCTCAAAGCCCAAACAAGGTTAGTGACACGGATCATTTCCATTTTCTCTCCACAATTCTAATTTTGATTTTTTTCTTTTCCTTTTTTCCACTCGTAAGAAATTCACACGTTGATTTGTTCATGGGAAAACTTGAACCTTCACCATCTACTATGAAATGCAGATGAAATATCACGGGTTAGTGGAAACAAAATTTAATTGGGTGATATAAAGTACTATAATCATATAATGAAAAACACAATGTGAACCAGGCCTTAAACAACGGCGATGAGTGCATGGTGGGCCTCACAGGGCTTGTGTTTGCTTTGGCACTGCAAAAGTGGATTTTCCATGTAATAAAGGCCCACTTAAGTGTGTCAACTGTCACAATGTGACATTACATCATTCATATCCATAATTTGTTAATCAAGTCAAAAAGCAAAAACCTACAAACAAATACGAGTAATTAAAAGCAGCATTCATGTTTGTCCCATGCAATGATTTAACCCAACTTATAACCCATTTGATTTCACGATCTTACGATTTTACAACATCACATGTGAAATCTATAAGATCCTCAAATCTAATGTCTTATAATTTAGTGAACCACTAAATGTAGGATTGTCACAGGAACTACACATCCGCTTATTTTTATAAATGGATAGCGTTATCCCAATGCTAAGCTCTTGCAGAATTTAAAAAAAATCGGATGTGTGCGATTCTACTTTCATGTGAAAAGGTTAAAACTTTTAATTACTTGTGTCAATTCGCTAACTCGGTCATGGGATCCACCATTATGGTACCTGTGAATTCCACCATCATTTTTAACTACTTGGTCAAGTTGTTAACTTAATCATAAGTTGTAATGGGATCCACGGTTATGATAAGTGTGAATCCCGCCACCAATTGTGCTTAATTTCATAGTTCAACTTGATTAAAATAGCATCACGCTTGATAATACAATCTAAATCAATGTTATAACTTACATAAATATATAATGTCAGAAAATTATGTACAAATAAATTTTAATTTTCGTATCTTTATTTGACTTCCCCAGTCCTAAAATTAGTTTCACTCCAAAATTTGTAAGTAGTAAATTGAAGAAAAAATCAAAACCAGTCATGTAATTAACATTTTGGTCCCAACAAAGTCATGAGGGTGACGGTGAAAGCTAAACAAATTGGGACCAGAAAGAAGATTGCAACCAAAGAGGATTTTTTTTTATTATTATTATTTTTTTTTTTTTTTCGGCGCAAAAGAGGGGTTTAGTTGGGTTAGCAGCATCTTGGACTGACTTTCAATTTTCCAAAGATGCCACCTAAAAGAATCACGCAATTCTACATATGAGAGCTCGAGACTTGTACAAAGAATCACATCATAGTTTGGAAAAATAAAATAAAATTCTGATGCGATATAAATCTTCTTTATTCTAAAAGAGAATAAGCTAGAGTTGTTACTCAATTTATTATTTATTCTAGACTAGGCACTACCAGTCTATCAAGCAACTGAAACTATACATATACATATGTGCGCGTATATATATATATATGATAGAGACTAGAGAGAACTTGCTCATTCAGAAACATAAATTTACCTTATCACGTTGGCCTATGTTAAGTATTTTTTAATGATAACAGAATTATAATAGTACCCACTTAAACTTTATGGATCTAAAAATGCAAAGTAATGGTGTTTAGTTATGATAATTTTTCATAATATTCTTGAAAAACTTTCATACTAATCAATCAAAATTAAAAATTAATTAAACCTTATATACACTACTTTCTTTTTTTTTTTTTTTTTTTTAACCCTTAATTTTTCTGTAACTAAAGAGAATTCAAACAATCATTTTTCAAGTTTAGAAATTATAAGAGATACTGCTAAGTTACAATTCTTGGTTTAAATAAGATTTTAAAACAAAAAAATCGAAATAATAATGGTGAGAAAAAATTTTAAAAATATTGATATAAAGCTACTGGTGCCAATTAGTGGAGTGATTTTCACACACACACACAAACAAAAATATATATATATATATATATAATTCAAATGTATTCAAATATGGTGAGGAGGATTTAAGTCTGTCGTTGTTTATGGTAGTGACTGCGAGCATTTAGGTGCAACAAATTAAAGAAGTATTATTAATGCATCCCAATGGTCCTATTTGTACAACTTAGTACCAGACCCACCAAATTGGGACCAGCACGTGAATTTTGTATGCAATGACGCAAATTAAGATAAATTATTAACCATACATGGTTCAAAAGTTGTACAACATTTGAAAAATCTTGAAACATTTGAATTTAACTTAAAATGTCAAGATTTTTCAGTCTAACCACACACAAGTTCAAATTTTCGTACAATTATTTTACAGAGAAAGTCATGAGGACTAATATTGCATTAAAATGTGCTGCCAGTTGCCACCATGAGACCTTCTTAACTACTCTATTTTATATATGTATAAATTCCCTTGTCAAATACTACTCTATTATATATATACACACATCACACTCGTATCAGCAACCAAGGTTTACTTGGAATGAAGTAATTAATAATAATTTTAAAAAAGCAGGCTTGATTTATAATTTTAAAAATAATTTTCAAAAATTCAAAAAATAGAAAACAGTTTTTAAGGAATTATAAAGATTATTCTCTGAAAACAAATATTTTTATAATTAAATTTTCAGAAAACTGAACCAAGCAGAATTTTTTTTTACAGCTTTCTGTTTTTAGTTTTTCGAGAATAGAAAATTGTTTTCATGATTACAAATCAAACAAGCCTTATAATTTTGTGTACAGTTTTCTGTTAACGGTTCTCACATTTATAAACCAAGCAGGCCATAAACTTTATAAGAAGAAGACTTTTATTATTTTTTTATTGTGTTGACAATGGATGAATTATCAAATTTATCCATAGTGGGTTTATAGTAATGTGATGATTTACTTTTTATAAATTCAATGCAAGGAAGTTAAAATGGTAACGTTACAAAAAATATATAGCATATTGATTTTTCAAACGTGTGACACTTATTTTTTGTTTAGTGAAGAATATAAAGGCGTTTAAGTGAAGAGTTTAAGTGAAGAATATAAAGGCGTTTCACATAGACATTTTTGTTTTGAAGTATCAAATGTATCCATGCACGAATCTGTGAAGGGCTCAGTGGGACATCGTTCCCACTGAAATTTTTTATTATTATATTTTATATCTCTAAATTTATATTTTTTTGTATTTATACCAATAAAATTTTAAAATTACTCTTACTAAAATTATGACAAAAACCCTTTTATATAAATTTTGACTCCATCCTATGAATTCCTAGATCCGTGGGATGTATCCAAAATGAAATCAATAATAAAAAAAAAAGTTTAGATGCATGCAATTCAAAGTGTGCACGCGAGATGGGTTGATACCATAGTATACTCCACTGAGTCGGGACAAAAAAAAACTCAACGTGCACCATGCACGCACACACACCGAAGTGCGCGCTCAACGAAATCATTTATCATGCAAACTGACCAGCACAACAGAATATCCAACCATCCACCTTCTCTCTCCCTACCTCCAAATTTCAAGTTAGTTACAATACCTATCTGTCTATCTCTATCTTCCATATATATAATATATATCACATGTAACACATGCATGTATATATATATGTGTGTGTGTGTATATGTGTGTGAACCTTACAATTATATATGCACACACATGATTAAAATATGAACTTGCAGCTTTTAGCTACATGTATGCACATGGAAGTACACAACATTCATGCAATGCATGTCCTCGCATAACTAACCTTCACCATTTTTGTCACATGACCATTTACCACAAATTTTTTTCACTACTCTTCATATAATAACCATGTTCTACCACCATTTACAGGCACATGTGTGTGATTTAGTGCTTCTATATATATATATATATACACACACGTATATATGTGTATGTATGCAATATGCATGCAGGAGCACAAAATGAAAATACAGTAATTAAGTTAACCATATGCTCTCAGCTTCAAGAAAAGACGCTCATACATCAACTAACAAAACTAAAACAACAACAGCAATTAACAACAGAAAATGAAGAAAAAGAGAGATTGATTCTCTCATGAGATAAGAGAAATGAACGCTATGATAAGTCGCCGGAATGAGACGACGTTCTCGGCAAGTTCACATGGTTTCGTTCGACTAACCACCTCTGGAGATATTAATGCGATAAGGGAGGTCTTAGGAAAACCAAAAGGAACTACCTAATCAGAAGCTGCCACGTACCCCCACGGCACTCTTATTTGGCACGTCACATCTGTATCCACCGAGCGAGTTGGGTAGGGTTGACAATTCCAGGTATGTGGGCCCCATCCCTCATAAGCAAGCTCGCCACCTCAGCATAGCTCTGCTGTTGCTGTTGCTTCATCTTTCCGCTCGGCTCGGCTTCCGAGCTCTGGCTCGGCTTCGTCCTCTTCAACTCAGCTGAGCTGCTCGAGACTGGCACAGCCTCGGCTCGAACTGGGTCCCATTTCTGCCCAAACAGCGTTCCCTTGGTTAGGAACTCGTGAGCCATGTATCCGGCTAGGAGCCGGTTAGACAAAACAGGCTCGGCGGACTTAGATGACATCGTGGCAGCTACAGCCGGTGGCTTCACCGCCGGCCGCGGTGGTGGTGGTGGTGGCGCCGGTGGTTTTAACGAGTAAAAAGCTTCCCTCTCTTTACGCTTTCGAGACGCGCCAGGAGACAATATTCGACGTGGATGGTGGCTCATCCTGGCCGTCCTTTTTGATCTAAAGCATGCCACGTCAGCCACCAAGTGTTTATAATCAAATTCGGGGGCAAAACCGTCAAATTAGGCTTATCAAGGATAAAGGCCGAAACGGGTAAAAAGTTGGCTCAAAAAAATATATATAAAAAAAAATCTGGCTTCGCTAAAGCGGGTCGTTCTCCTATGGAGGTTAGAAATGTAAAATCGTACAAAAACATTTTTCATTTTTTCGAAAAGCAACCAGAGATATAGAAAATATAACAAATCATTATAAATTCAGAGATAGAGAGAGACAGAGAGGAGGAGGAGGAGGAGGAGGAGGAGAGAGACAAAGAGACTGGTGTTATCAGAGGTCTTGAGGGTGAAAACGGATCGAGAGGGCCGGTGATCGGAATCTGACAAATTGGTGGGGATCTGGATTAGACGTGACGGTTCAGTGTATCGCCGTCGTCGGCGGTATGGTGACCGGAGAGAGAGAGAGAGAGAGGGAGAGAGAGAGAGAAGGGGGGGGGGATGATGAGACGACAGAGAAGGGGGAGGGGGAAATTGGGTTTTTATAGACGGACTGACAGGCTATGTTTATTGCTTACCCTTTGTGTTTTAGAAAATTACCTGAAATGCCATTCCATAACGTTTCTTCAGTTTTTATTTTTTATTAGAAAAGATAAATATTTATATATTTTTTCCAATAGAAAAGATAAATTAGTATAAGATAATCTTTAACGTGGATTAGATTATAAAGCGAAATTGATGTTTTGGGCCACACAGTGAGGGTATTTTTTCGGCTTCTCAAATTTATACAATTGCACTGCTGATGAAAATGGCAGTTCTGTAATTATCTGACCAGCTTGTGCTTATTATCTATGCTAACATTAGGAGCAATTTGGATACGAATAATACAAGTGTGGCCAAACTATGTGTCTGCCTAGCATTACACTTTGGACAGCGTTAATGTGAATATGTCAATTAGTAAAGTGTAATTATTCAATCTCATTTATTGAAATAACAATATATATTCATTCATTTTAATAAAGTCAAGAGTCTCATCTCACATTTGATAAAGTCAAGAGTCTCATCTCACATTTGATTCGTATGTGGAAAGTTTTAAAAATCGAATGTGAAAAGTATTGGATGTATATAAACGGATATGCATTAGTTTAGAGTACCTTAGACTTGATTATCAAATGCTCACCCAAATGAAATTCGAAATCGAATCATTACCGAGTCCTCCTACGGCCAAAGGAGCTGCTGCAAGTTCTTTAAATCGAATTGCAAGCACTGGATTCGATGCCATTCAAAACACTTCTTTTGTTAAAAATTTTCTAATGACAATTATTTTTCCTCACTAAATTTGTCTATCTGTCTTGATTGAAAATTGCTTAAAATAGAAAATATGAAAATCAACTGCGTTGCATCAATTGAGTGATGCATGTTTAACATATTTTTCGCTACTAAATGTGAATACCACGTACTCTTACTTCATATTAAAACAGATAAAGTTATTTTGATTTTAACACAATGCAATCATTCTCTTTTTTCGACATTCGTCTCTTTTGATGTTACATGGTACATGATTTTTTCTTTTTTTATTATTATTACTACTACTACGGTTACTTTTTAAATGAAAAATTCTTTAATCTGGAAAAAAAAAAAAAAAAAAAATATTATATTTGAATAAATTATTATATGGTTCCGATCAATTACAAGCGACGACAAAAAAAATAAAATAAAAAAAAAAGACAAAAGTGTATGTACGATTGTATTAGATTTGCCTGTATCATGTCAACATTTCTTCTAAATCTAAATCTGTACATTCGTTTATGGATGAATGATTAATTGGTGTATAAGGATTAAGATTGTTACATTAGAATTCCTTTGGTTGAACCATGATAAACATGACCAAGCTTTAATTACTCTTTTCCGAGTAAATCAATCAACCTAAGAATTTTAGCTGGTCCATGTCAATCTTCCTATCTAACGTATAATTCGAATGTGGCATAATTAATCACAACATGGTATCATTATATTGTAGATACCACATACACATTTTATCTATCATCTACATTAGTTGTAGACTTGTTGTTTATGGTATTTTAAACCTCTCTGGCTACGTATTTTTTATTTAGTCATGAAAAATAAGAAAAATTATATCATTGTCACTTGAAAATACTTTGTAAATTACGTAGTTCTGAAAACAAAAATAAAGATGTTGCATTTGTTAGCACCGAATCATGTTTTAGATTTGAGATTAGAGGAAATTTAGTTAAAAGTTAAGTAAATTTTCTCTAATTTCAAATTCAAAGTACTAATTCAGTACTCACAAACATAACATAAAAGTTTTTAAGAGTACTTATTTTTACGCTCTTGTTGGACTCTAGGTACCAATTAACTATGAAGGAGTTTCTTTCATAACAACTATAGAACTTATTACATATAGGATGTATTCGGCTGCATGAAATTGAAGTCTTGTAATTAAAATTGAAATCAGTAGAATTTGAGAAAATTTTGGTTCAATTTTAGTAGTTAATTTTCTCAAATTCGACTTATTTCTATTCCAATACTCTAATTTCATACAACCAAACACACCATAATTTTTTTGCTTTAAAATAGTTGAGCTTGCTTCAAACTCATAAACTCTCTCCCACCTTAACCAAATTTTGGTTGGCTCATTTACTATATGTTTTGGGTTTGAGTGAAGTTTCTAAACCTGATTAGTCATTTCCTTTTCCCAATTTGTATTGTTTTAAGTCTTCTTAATTCATGTATATTATTTTGAGGATAATTTAAGGTATTTTAGCAGCAAATTTAAGAAATTTAGGCACATGCCAAATATATACATATATATGGGATTGTTTACCTACAATGTGCAAGGAATTTATGCACGAATTATATTTTAACCATTGGATATAAAAAAATAAATTATCTTTTTAACTGCGCAATCAAATCTAACAGTTAATCCTTGAAATATGCATGTATTTTTCTGCAAAACTGAGAGGAAGTGAACAATTTTGTACATATACATATATTAATGAGTTATGCCTAATTTGACTTCTATCTAACAAATGAGTCAGATTCAAGCATGGTGTTCCTACCAATCACAAATTACTACACAATCTAAAAAAACTTGTAAACCCTTTCATATCTGATTTATCACCATATTAAAAAATAAATGACAATTCCTATAATAATCAAAATAAATATCTTGACAATTCCTATAATAATCAAAATAAATATCTTGATTTCTAATAGGAAAATTTTCAATTGTCTTATCTGATTTTGTTTAATCACATGGACCCTATTTAAAGTGTTTAACCACTTGATTAGTTTACTGTAATTTTGATGTGTATTTTGAAGGATAAAAAATGAAAATTTCTTTTATAAGATTCTAACTTCTGATATACAAATTCAATCCAGTGATCCATACGACGAAATAATGTTAGATGGGCTGTTTTAATTATCATCTATTTTTTGGGTGAATAAAATTTTAATTATTATTTTGTTTCAGAAAATAATATAAATAAGTATCCTTTTAATTTTATTTGATGTATCGTGCACTTGTGCCTGAATCCCTCTTCCTAATTTATCAATCTTCCTAATTTATCTATATATATATATATATATATATATATCAACTGAACATTGATATTTTTTTATCAACCAAACCATAATGAGATGACCTGGCACTACTTTTGCAATCCCCAAGACTTTTAGACCTCAATGGTAACGGAAAAAAGAAACTTTAGTTATTCAGCACCGTTTATTAATTATCCATATCTCGACTATGGAAAGACAAAACTATCCTTAACACATATGTAAATGGCTAAAACCCCTCCTGAATATCCTTTTGGAGTAATTCAATTCTTCACCCTTCCCTTATTTTCTTATTTTTATATTCTACTCGACGTAGGATTATTGTATATATTGTCAAACCACGTGTGCTATCATATATATTTTTATCTTTTATATCTTTTATTTTCTCAATCCATAAAATATTTGTTTCCATTTCTAAAATTACTCTCAGCATGAATCACATTACTATTTTTTTTTTAATTTAAGTATTATACCATTTTAAGCATAGGTCGAACTAGAATTTTATTTCAGGAGACATAATGTCCTTAGATTAAAAAATAATGACAAATATAAATTTATTTTGAAAGCGATGCATGAAACTAAACACATTGACTTCATAAAATTACAGCAATAAATGTAATTAAGAAGGGAAAAAAATGTTGCATAAATCATATATAACTATATAAGTGAAAAAAAAAAAAATGAGAGAATTTTTAAGAGAAACAAATTAGAACCTGATTGACGAAAAGGGAATAGGAATGTAACTCTTTTTTAAAAAGAAAATTGGGGGGGTGTAGGAATAAAAGAATGAAATAATTATTTTCATTAACTATTTAGTTGTAGATGTATCTGTAATCCAGTGGATTAGTACTTTTGGTGAACTTTGGAGTGAATGAAATTATAAATCACCAAATTCAAATTTGAATAATCATATTTGATAATCAATTTCACCGCAATACCTAATGAGTCCGTAAACAATTATGATTTATCTTTTTATACCAATATCCTTGTGATCTAGTAATACCTTATCACCTTTTAAAATGAAAAAGTCAAAAATAAAAAGTGTGTGTTTCTTGTCATAAAAATAAATAAATAAATAAAAAACACTCATTTTTTTTTAAAGAGAAATGAGGATTTGAAGTTCAATACCAGCATTTGTGAGTAGTCACCTAACCAAATAATAATAATAATAATAATAAGTATAAATGGTGGGCCGGTTGAGGTTAAAAAGTTCAGGTTAAAGTTGTGAGGGTGAAAGGTAGAGCCATTGTTCATGCGGCTTAGGGAATGAAATTGAGCCATTTCAATTTGGCGTATAATTTGGGTGAACATAAAATATTAATTTTGAAATGGAAATACCAAATTACATGACGACAACACACGCGCTCTTCCACAAGTTGGGTTGGAGCATGACAGGGTGATGTGGGAATCACCAGATAGTGCCACTTTTGTTAAACACTATTATTGGATAGCACCCATTCATGACACCATGCACATCCAATTTTTTTGTATCTCGATGGGGCCTCATTTCTAATCTCAATTCCTAGGTCTGATTGAACATATATATGACATTTCCAATCATTAGATACAGGATTATATAAATCGAGTGAATGATTATTGCATTTTAAATTTTAATAAATAAATAAATATTATAAAGGCGTGTCGATGATGACCGACATCAAACACCATAATAAAGCTCAAAATAAATCCATGATGAATAAATTGGGACTATACCATCGTCCTTTATTTTTAAATATAACAAAGATAAATTATACATGTTGTAAATGAATTTATTGTTGACTAATAAGTAAGAGATTATTTATATCTTTATTAATATGTAAATTTATGCGGGTTCAACTTGAAAATTATTATTTATTTATCACATAACAAGTTAAGTGCTCACGTCAACAATTCACAAAAGAAATATATTTACATA